CAGGCGAACCTGATAAAACGCCCCCCTGGTCACGGCCGACAACTGGTCTTCCAGCGTCAGCCGCGAATCCAGGAGGACACCCAAGTTGCGTACCCTCTCCGAGGGGGCCAAAGTTTCGCCCCCTATAGTCAGCGATGGAATCAGCTGACTATGCCGAGGCGCCGGTAACCACAGCCACTCGGTCTTGGACGGGTTGAGCTCGTGGACTTCAACTCCCAGAATTCCTGAGCCAGCATGGCTCAGCTTGGAAACCTCTCCCTTTCTTCTCAGCATGGCTGACTCAGGAATTCTGGGAGTTGAAGTCCACGAGTCATAAAAGAGCCAAGGTTGCCTACCCCTGGCATAGGTACAAGTGATGATGTAAGGATGCTGTGGAATATGAGATCCCCATGCTACTCATGGTCTCCTCGGGAAAAAGCAGCAGGAGCAGTTTGCAAGACCTCCTGTTGACTTGGCAGGGAAGGTCGCAAATGGTGATCACATGATTGTGGGATGCTGCAGTTGTTCGAAATGCAAATCTGGTGCCAAGCACCTGTATCGGGGATGCTGCATGATCAAGGACCATTTATAAGTCCCCTTTGAATGTTTGCTATATTAACGGTTGTAAGCCAAGATCTTCCTATATTTCTTTTTGAGAAATTTTTAGTTTGTTCAAAAAAAGAGGTTAAAATACAAAACACCAAAATATTTAAAAAAGGACAAAAGAATAAAAAAACACAACAAAAAGACATTAAACAGAAAAAGTGTCGTAAGAAAAAGAAAGCAAGACGTATACACATAACACCTTCCCTAGTTGAACGCTGATTAATATAATGCAATGATGTTGGTTTCCACCCCTTGCAAAACAGGCCAAAAGAATTTTAAACTATTAAACTAGTAAATCTATTTAGAAATTGTTAGCCTGTCATGTATAAACTATATTCATAACAAAATAGCTAACAGAAAAAACAATAATATTATGAACAATAGTCAGAGAAAGATAAGATTGAAATTCCAAAATTCTCTATTAACAACTCATAGAAAATTTACCATGGCTTCAATCCCAAATCATCCCAAATATTAACCCTAATTGGTCCCAAATCAAATATCCATGTTTGTTTCTTTATACCAGAGGTCCCCAACCTTTTGGGCACCAGGGACCAGTTCTGTAGAGAGAGGTTTTTCTGTGGTCATCTAGTCCAACCCCCTGCTCAGGCAGGAAACCCTATACCATTTCAGACAAATGGCTGTCCAGTCTCTTCTTAAAAACTTCCAGTGTTGGAGCATTTACCACCTCTGGAGGCAGGTTGTTCCACTGGTTAATTGTTCTGTCAGGAAGTTTCTCCTTAGTTCTAGGTTGCTTCTCTCCTTAATCAGTTTCCATCCGTTGCTTCTTGTCCTGCCTTCAGGCACTTTGGAGAATAGCTTGACTGCCTCTTCTTTGTGGCAGCCCCTGAGATATTGAACACTGCTATCATGTCCCCCCCTCTTCCTTCTCTTCCTTAAACTAGACATACCCAATTCCAGCAACCGTTCCTTATATGTTTTAGCCTCCAGACCTCTAATCATCTTTGTTGCTCTTCTCTGTACTCTTTCTAGAGTTTCAACATCTTTTTTACATGGTGATGACCAAAACTGGATGCACTATTCCAAGTGTGGTCTTACCAAGGCCTTGTAAAGTGGTATTAATATTTCAAGTGATCTTGATTCTATCCCTCTGTTAATGCAGCCCAGCACTGTGTTGGCTTTTTTGGCAGCTGCAGCATACTGCTGGCTCATATTTAAGTGATTGTCCACTAGGACTCCAAGATCCCTCTCACAGTTACGACTATTGAGCAAGGTACCACCTATACTATACCTGTACATTTGGTTTTTCTTGCCTAAATGTAGAATCTTACTTACTGTGCCATTGGCACAGATCTGTCAGCGCCAACCCACCTGCATGGACCCGCCTACGACAACCCACCTGCACCGAGTTATCCCATTCTGCTTCAAATGGGCAGAACTGTTACTAAGAAACAAAGGAAATAATGCTCTTGAGAAGGCTCAACAGAACCCCAAGACTGGTTTATTGTTGCTATACTTTTATCTTTCAGTGCCTATTATTTTAGTGGCCTTTTTAAAAATCATTTTAGGGATGTATATCTGTGTGTGTGTGTATGCATGCAGGTATTTACAGTATGCACTAGTAATGAATGCAGTGAAAAGCAATATTGGAATAGTTTAATAAAATGCATTGTAAAGTAGTAATTTATTGATTTGATCTACAGGTTGAAGATTTTGTAGATCCCAATGGCAAGATCTCTCTTCAGCGAGAGGAAACCCCTTCTAATCGGTGGGTAACCCAGATAATGGAATAGATTGACAGAAAAGCCTGAACTTCTATATTTATATATAAAACTAGCTGCACCTGGCCACGCGTTGTTGTGGCTCAGTCTGGTAAAAGCGTGTGTTGCTTTTACGTCCAACAGATGGTGCTGTTTTTCAAAAAAGCATGTTTTTACCTGTCACAGGTGTGACATCTATATAATATAGGTATATAAAAACACGCGCGTATTCGAATGCAACGCTGTGTCAAAATTTCAAAGCAATCGGTGGTGAACTTTCGGAGATTTAAGATTTTGAACAAACGAACATTTACATTTTTATTTATATAGACTATTAGATGTTAGAGAATATAGATGGAATCTATATCACATAGTGGAAATTTCTCTTTGTTAGATTCCAGCCAGCGGGCATAGCCTTTTGTCCGTCTCTCAGTTTTTGTCTACATCTAATGTTCTGTGTCTCCTGAGGATGTTTTATCCCCATTGAGATGTTTGAGATTCCTCCATACCTCCATTAATTTGATAGCATTTGTTTATACATTTGCAATCCCTGGACTTCTAATAAAGTTGCTGGTACATCTCTCTTGTGAAATAAATTGGAGCATTTTGGCTGCATTAGATTTGGGACTCTGATACTGAGTTCTATTTGCAAGTTTCTCCTTCCTCCTCTATCTATAAGCATGTTGTTGTTCTTTTTGTCTTTTGTAGGGGAGAGTCTACAGTGCTCATCTTTGTTAACTGGCTGACACTCAGTGGCACAGAACAGTCTGGTATGAGAGGACCATCCACAGAGAATCAGGAAGCAAAGAGAATGGCCCTGGAATGTATAAAGGTAATTTGGGTTCGGATAAAAGATAACGGCATATAGAGTAGAACATCAAATCTTTAATCCACTGAGTAATTGTGGCCATAAATGTGTCTTTCCATTGTCGAAGGACAGATTTCTTAGCATTGAGAAGTGATGGATCTGATTCTGTAGTTCAATTGTCAATGTCCATGTTCAAAAGAATACTTACACCTGAAAATATGAAACCGTGTCTCAAAGTCAGATTATTATGTGTAGTTATGATCGTTTTAAAAGATTGGAAATAGATATTTTAATTGTCCCAAGGTCCTTTTTCAGGAGGCAACTGGACTTTCTTGGGTTTTTTTTTTTTTTGAAGACGTTTCGTTTCTCATCCAAGAAACTTTTCCAGCTCTTGACTAGATGGTGGGGAATGGAAGGATTTATATTCCTTGCAGACAGCTGGTCATTTGCATTTTTTTTAGAGAGTCGTTGAGGCCATTTGGAGGTTTACCTGTGTCCTCAGGGTCACCTGAGTACTAAAAATGTGTGTGGAGCCTTCTTGGCTGCAGGATGTTTTCTGCTGTTGGGGGTGAGTCCAGTGGTGGGATTCAAATACCTGAACTTCCGGTTCTCTCTGTGGATGCAGGCCTGGGCCTCCGAGGCCTAGAACGGACTTCGGGAAGTGACATCTGTAAACCTCTTAGGGAGGGTTGTAAAGCACTGTGAAGCGGTATATAAGTCTAAGTGCTATTGCTATTCATTTCTTATTTATTATTATTTATTTATTTTTTTAAACTTATATGCCGCCCTTCTCCCAACAGGACTCAGGGCGGCTTACAGCATATTAAAACAATACAAATACTATCCCCAATAAAAACCAATTAAAAACAAATATTTAACCGCTGTAATTATATTAAAATTCTAATTAAAAATTGTCCCTATTTAAAATTCTCCCTAGGCCAGACCCGCTTGCTGGAAAAGCCATGTCTTGAGGGCGCGGCGAAAAGATAGGAGATCCGGAATCGTCCGGATCTCGGGGGGTAGTTCATTCCAGAGGGTGGGGGCACCCACAGAGAAGGCCCTCCCCCTGGGGGTCGCCAGCCGACACTGCTTGGCCGACGGCACCCTGAGGAGGCCCGCTCTGTGGGAGCGTACCGGTCTGTGAGAGGAAATCTGTGGCAGAAGGCGGTCTCGGAGATATCCAGGTCCGATGCCATGGAGCGCTTTAAAGGTGGTAACTAACACCT